GCTCTTAGGTTGGAGGCCATCGCTCTTAGGTTGGAGGCCATCGCTCTATAGGTTGGAGGCCATCGCTCTTAGGTTGGAGGCCATCGCTGTTAGGTTGGAGGCCATCGCTCTTAGGTTGGAGGCCGTCGCTCTCAGGTTAGAGGCCGTCGCTATTGTGTTGACTCTGTCTAGCGCTTCAGACCTGCTGACCTCCATTGGGTTCTAAACGCATAAACAGTCATAAACATTCAATCTCGGGCGTGCTGCGCACCACCAAACCCTTTGGTGTCAGAAAAGCTTTCCAACGTTGTGACAAAATGGGGCATGTTTGATATTTATGATTTTGTTTTTGGACAATGACGCCGACCGACAGGGACGAGCTCGACGTTCCTGGCATTCTATGGGATGACGTACTTTCCCTCGGAGAGCAGCAGCGGTTGCAATTTTGCAGGCATGTGATGCTCGAGCCGACACCCTGCATGTCATTGCGCCATACACTAAATCACAAAAAGGTAGGCACAAATAGAGCTAAAACATGTGAAGAACTATTGTTAGTAACTTGGTGCTTGAGTGGAGTCTCGGCCAGTGGTGGCAGGCTTTTTTGGCACTCCGAATGGCAGCGAAAGCAAAACGATGCGGATGATGGTTTTTTTCGTGGCTTGGCCATGCTCTGAACATGATCTTGCTTGCAGGTACAGTAACAGGTTCAGGCCACAAAAAGATCCGTTTTTTATTCGGGAGTCGCCCTAAGACCCAAATAACAGAACTAGATTTCAGGAGCACAGTGTTGACTCATAGACTATGAGGTGTTCTAAAGCCTGCATCGCGCAAGGTTTGTGCAAGGCCTGGCACAAGGTTTCGCGCAAGGGTTCTTTGTGCAAAGTGCTCTACACACACAAAGTGCCTCAGAAACAGTACTTTAACGCAGTTTCCTACTGTGTTCCCTCAAGTCCGGGACAAGGTATGATTGCTCCTCCCATTTCTACATGCCGAGGCGGTCCTGGATGAGTCTTCTGCTTCGATGGTCCACACCTCAGCTCTCAACCGCTCCGTGAAAGAAAACAGACACCTCTTTGTATGCTGCTGTGGACCAAATGTGTCCATCTAATTGGATTGTTGTGGCTTGACTACAGTGCAGCACCGGCAATGCTGGAAATCCCCGCCATGGTCAAGCCTACACCGTCGAGTAAAAGTAAAAGCAACCACAATTCAGCCCAGCCAGTGCAATGCTACATTTTGTGTTTTCTTGTGATTGTATTTGAGTAGGCGACACATCTAAATAAAGGCTTTCGCAGCTATTGGGAGACCTTCCATCCCACGACACACTTGTCGAATTGAGACCACACAGGAGTTTCCCACTTGGACTGTATTGGAAACCATGGATTACCAAAGACGTGCTCGCAGTACCTTTCTCTTTTTGGTTTGCCGATGTTTGCCGCATTTTCCTGAATCTTTCCCAGCTCTATCAAGCACACACTTGTTCGACTTGAAGGGCTCTGGCTGAATTTTGACGCATGGTACCGGGGTACCGCCCTGTTTCTCCAAGACGGTTCGAGCACAAACAAGTGGAGAATGGGCAAGTGTCCTGATCGCCTCAGGACACCTCATCGGAGCTGAAGGTGGAGCGCAACGCGATGCCCGATGAAACAACGCATGACGCATGACTAGTTCCATTGGCGTTGTGACCATTAGCCCAATGGATCTCTAAGTACCGTTCTTGTTCCAAGTGCAAAGGACCATTCAAGACTCCCGTTTATAGGGGTTTGTTATGGTCTGTTTCAGCCAACATGCGCTGCTACTTGCGCCACTCGGTAAACATTACAGAAAGTGGTGTGGCCAAAAGAGAACCGGGGGCAGATTTGCTGTATGGCTGATGTGAAGGCCACACAACTCCCACGGCTCCCCGCCAGCGGTAGCACAGTTTTTGCGTTGCTGCCGAATGGAGGCCTTTGTTTATAACTCTTGTGGACACTTCAAGACTACTTGTACTTTGCTTGTTCACAAGAAAGAACACTCACAAATGATCCAACTGCCAACTCCACACCCTTGACCAGATTGGCTAGTTGAAGCATAGTGAATCCTCTGCTACAAGCCTGACCCTTTCGGCTAATACCTGACAGTGCCGCATGTTCGTCGTATTCAGCATATGGCAAGTTGGCCTGTTTGCACCCACCCCTAGCATGCTGGCGAAGTTGTGTCTTACACAATGCTCGTCACAGGTTTATGAAGCTTGCCGCAAGAGAAACCTTGGATTCCTCAGTGTTGCTCACCGGCGCCTGGTCTGAGCTTGGTTCGTGGGAGTCTGCTTTGAGGTGGTACCAGCAAGTGGTCAGCTTTTTATATTCATTGTACTGGATGCAACGGCTGGGAAGAGCATGCTGCGTTGCGCATGTTCAGCCTTCCCTTTGGCAGCTCACACTATGCTGACGATTTGTTTGCCAAATGGGGCAAAGGACCCAAAACTGACCAGGCAGAGACTTTGTTGAGGAAAGTTTGACCTTTGAGGCCTACGGTGATCCAGTTTCATGACAAGATCCTCCACTATAAGTTTGACAAGAGACTTGGCAGCAAGACTGGGAAAGCAAAGGCTGCCACCCAGCCAACCCGAACACAAGGTACCTTGCCGAAAACTGGTTGCCAGACTTTTGGCATA